ATTGTCCTCATCTTTGTCGCCATATTTATCACAACGTTTCGGCCGTTGTACGCTCCGGTCTTCTTCAGGTGGTTGGAATGTCGAACTGAACCCTTTATTTCGATCACTGGGGTAGACTGTTCTAGTTCCACCTGCCATGTTTAATAGATGTCAGTTATCAGTTATCTCCTGCTGATTTTCCCTCTGAAAGTTCTCCGCTGCCTTAGCCGGGTATTGAAGTGGATAAAAGCGTTGGTTAGATCCAGTGACAAGACCCAAAGAGTGTGAGTTCAATACCCGGACGGGTATCTGGGACAGATTCGGATGCAGGCTGATTGGTAGCAGAAGATCGTCGAGAGTGATGGCCTTTATTTTAAAGAATAAATAAACCACCTCCCCCCACTATATATATATATATATATATATATATATATATATATATATATCAAAAAGCACCGAGATTGTCCAAATCGTGTAACAGCCAAATTATCCAATTGTTGCATTAAGCTTTGAACCGTTGTATCTTAGAAATGATTAAAGATATCTTAATGGAATTCTCCGAGATTTTCATAACTTTATGGACTCTATTTTGGTACACCGTTTGCCTTTGAATAAATGAATGAACCTTAATTTTTTTAAATAATTCTTTTCCCTATTCTTCGATTATGTTATTTTAAATATTTTAATATTAAGTTTTTTTTAAATATTTTATCTTTAAAATTTTCCTTTATTTGAATAAATGAATATTAACCATTTTTTCATATAATTATATTCAACATTGTTTAATTCAAAAGCTATAGTTTTATTTCATAACATTTAAATGTACACCCTTTTAAAATTTTGCGAAGTGTGTTGTGATATTTTCATTTGCTCCTGGGTGTGCTGTTGCTTAAAAAGGTTGAGAAACACTTATGTAGGTAGAAAAAAGGCAAATGTTGAAAAGATAGCGAGGGTCACAAAATATTGTCCCGGGCCCCCAATCATTCTTATTCCTAACTGGATAATGTGTTTATATAATATGCGATGACTGATTTTGAGAAATTCTCGACTAGACTTCCTTCATCGAATCAATATTTTGAAATTTGATCATTTAATTCGGGATATACAGCAGCCATCAGATCCGCCTCGTTTCCGTACGTGTGAGCGTGTGCGCATGCGCGTGTCTACAATAGGAAGTCAATTATCCTTGACACATTTCTGTAATAAAAAAAAAGCCATATTTATAGAACATGATGATTGTTTATTTTTCTAGATATTTTAATAAAAATGTAAAATCGTTTTTATCTTTTTATTTAACAGGGAAAAATAAAATAAATATCTCTTACTAAAATTTATTTTAAAAACATAAAATCTTTCACGGGATTATAACAAAAATGAATTTAATGAAGTCGCCGCTCGATTATTATTATTACTATTATTATTATCATATTATAAAAGTCATTTTTAGTTTGAACGACCGTTACACTCTGCCAATACCCAATAAATAATAGACAATTCCGTTTTGAACGCGCGGAAAATGGGGAAAAGACACTACTTGGTTTCAGTGAGAAAATGAATGAAAGAAAGAAAGAAAGAAAGACGGGAATATAGAAGTGTTTAACATATCATAAACAATGGACTATTCCGTTTTGATCGTATGGAAAGAGGGAAAAAGACACTACTTATTTTCAGTGAGAAAAATGTAAGAAAGAAAAAAGAAAGAAAAGAAAGAAAAAAAAAGAAAAGAAAAGAAAAGGAAGGAAGGAACGAACGAACGAACGAAGGAAGGAACGAAGACGTGTTTGCTGTATTAGGTTGGCCAGAAAAGTCCTGACTCATTTAGGAAGCGGAAAGAAAACAAAATTTAACGGAGCAACACCAAGATTTATTCTTTAAAATAAAGGCCATCACTCTCGACGATCTTCTGCTCCCAATCAGCCTGCATCCGAATCTGTCACAGATACCAGTCCTCTGGCTTTGAATAAAAGAAACTGTAACCAAGTTTCCTTCACTGCATCCAAAAGTGTTGAATCGCTGGTCGCGGAGGGAGTGTGCCATTGAGCAGAATAGGCCATAGCCTCCCGGAGCAGCATCGGGACTGAATGGTGGATGTGGAAGAATCTCAACACCGTCCATCTGTCAACCTGGCATCATTTGGCCTCGCATTGTCTTACTGAAACGAAGCCCGACTTCGATTGACTAAAGCAGGGAACTCCTTCTTTAGTTTGTCGCACATGCAGTCAAACGGAGAAAAATAACTCGGTTTACAAGGCACGACAGTCTCTGCAAGACCATCATGCAAAGCACCATTGAAGGTGGACGTAGGAGATGACAACAACGCAAAAACAGGTTGGACAATGTCAAACAAAGGACAGGTTTGACTGGACCAGAATTGCTGATGGCTGCCGTTAAGAGACCGTTGTGGAAACAAGTTAGAGTGGCTTCTGCATTCGGATCCACCCTACCATTACAAAAGTCAAGGGGATGATGATGATAATGATGATGATGATGATGATGATGATGATATGCATTCTAGCTGCTGGCAATATAGTTTAGTGTTGATGGCGCGACCGTGTCGAACAAGCTCCAAATGCTCCAAATTTCCAAGGAAATTCCACCAGGCAGATATCAGTATTTGGTGTTTACTTTCCGCCTCGTAAGAGATATCAGAATAATCAAGAACCTACACTGGCAGCAAACGGCGTGCATTCGCATTGAGAATAAGCTCAGCGAATATACAAAAATAGAAAGAAGCTTAAGGCAAGGATGTGTCCTCTCACCGGACATTAAGCCTATAAAGCTGCTCGGCCCGGAGGCTAGGATCAAAGTGTAGTACGCTGCCTTTGTGAGCTTCCGAGTCGGCTTCTGTCGAACTCTCTGCATTAGCAGAGAGGAACCCGGACGAAGCTTTGCCGAAGGGCAAGGTTTCGTTCGGGGAGGTAGACAGGGCCTGAACCCGTCTAGGCGGGTTCAAAACGGCTATATTTTTGGCCGAGCCTACGGGCTCGGTGATACTCACATTAAACCGGCCTTGTACCACATTCTATCATTGTGGGTGGATCGATAAACACTAAGCCTATACAGCGAGGCAATTCTGAGGGAACAGGAGATCCTACCGGGATTCATCACTGGTGGCCGCAACCTTACGAATATAAGATACGGAGATGATACGGTACTGATAGCGGACACGGAAAAGAAGCTACAAAACCTTCTACAGAAGGTAGCGAGGGAGAGCGAGAAGAAAGGACTAACCATAAACTACAAGAAGTCAGAATGCATGGCCATCAGTAAAAGGATGAGCCCAAAATGCGATTTGCATGTCGGGGACAATAAAATCAAACATGTGCGGAAGTTTAAGTATCTGGTGAAGTGTTCTGACGGAGGACGTTAGGTGTGACGCTGAGATCCGAAAACGGATTGGGATGGCCAAGGACGCATTCCAAAAGCTGGGCAGGGTACTGCGAGACAGGAGGATTTCTATGGTGACAAAGAAAAGAGTACTGAGCTAACTACGTGACATCTGTCCTCCTATACGGCAGTGAATGTTGGACTGTATCCGCAAAGATGAAGAAGAGACCCGAGGCAGTGAAGATGTAGTTCTACAGAAGGATGCTAAGGATATCACGGAGCGAGCGTTGTGAGCGACGACGAGGCCTTGGAAAGGATGTAAAGAAGGGGGAAGATTATACTTAACATAAGGAAAAGACAGATGAAATTTCTGGGACACGTAATGAGAAAAGAGCGCCTGGAGAATCTGATACTCATAGGACGAATAGAGGGGAAAAGAGACAGGGGAAAGCATCGCGTGACATACGTGTCGGGCTTGGCCAGGTGGATGGCGGAGTGTTTGTCTGGATGGTTGGTGAGATGGCAGAAACACAAAACCTGTTGTGAGCCACTTGGGATATGGTGATGTGGAGGTCCATGATCGCGTACGCCCTGAAAGGACACGGCATAAAAAAAAAGAAAGAAAAGAGTCAAGATTTTCTGGCTAATCTAGTATGACATTTTTTTTTTATTTTTACCCTTTAATTCTTTTTATATAATTTTACAGGTTTTTTTTTTATTATATACATTTTTATAATAACCTTTCAATCTTAAAATAAAACCCTTTCGTTGCCTACCACTTTCAATTCATGCACAGAGATGAACAAGTCATTAGCCCCACGGGTACATACCTAAGAATTTAAGGTTAGATAACTGACAATCAAATCCATGGTAATGAACGGGCTATTTACAGTAGACCATTTTAATTCACCAAGACAGAATATGATTCCATCTCCAGTCAATTAAGAATCTCAGAATAATCAAGAACCTACCCTGGCAGCAAACGTCGTGCATTCGCATTGAAAATAAGCTCAGTGAATATACAAAAATAGAAAGAAGCTTAAGGCAAGGATGTGTCCTCTCACCGGACATTAAGCCTATAGACTATAGTTTAACCAGATAAGCTATATAAAATTCGAGGCCCTTCTCTGAAAACACTAGGGTAAAAAATTTAAAATAATTATACATGATTATCATTGATTCGTGAATATATATATATATATTTTTTTTTTTTTTCAGATTTAGTTGATTGCTTGGTTGTTTTTTTTTACCGACATATCAACACCTCTATGGGTTATTTAATGCCCAAATCTATATATTTTGTACGCAACATATTTTTTATTGGATATTTAAAGTAGACCATCTTAATTCATCAAGACAGTCAATTAAGATCAAGATTATAGTTTCCCTAGCTGAGGACCTAAGCTATATAAAATTCGAGGCCCTTCTCTGAAAACACTTGGGTAAAAAATTTAAAATAATTATAAATGATTATCGTTGATTCGTGAATATATATATATATTTTTTTTATTGGGTATTATAATGACTTTAGTAATATAAGTCGTGCTAATTAACCAATAGCTGGAGAGAGAAGAGGTGGATTCGAACCTTTCACGTAGGTGTAAGTAAATTTCACGCACCCGACTGGAATTAGAACTCGGCTCTTCGATTAACAATTCTGAGTCATTACCATTACACCACCTGCACATCTACGT